AAAAAAAAAACGGTAACCTGGTTGCCGAGTTCACGAAGTGAATTGGCTTGTTTTACAACGTCTTTGCCAAGCGACGAAAACCCAACCCCGATGGCAAACACCGAGGGGGACGTGGGGTGGGGGGGGAGATTGACGGAGATGAAATGTTAAAGACAAGGACCGAGGAAAAAGGTTCACGAGGGATACAGCGAGGGAGTCGGGAGAGTGCATGGGACGCTGTAGCCTGCGGCGTGTCGGGGACAGATACAACAGTCGTGTGGCTTTTTCTCCGTGGGCAAACGATAAGCAGACAACTAGAGAGGGGGAGAGATAGAGATTTCGCGCTTGTCAAAAACCCGAGCTGTGCCCTAGACTCCCATGTTCACACACTGATTGTGAACGCACGGTCTATTGCAGAAATGGAAACACGGCAAACGTCTCACCAGCAAATTCACCCCCAACACTCTTGTGCCCGGACACAGACACCTCGAACGTGGCGCGACCCCATCGCGATCGAGCGCGCACTCGTCTGAACCAGACACCCCATCGGAAACATACATGCATTACCTCTCTTGCCTTCCCTCACTCCCCCGCCCCGGCCGTGCTGAACAGGGGGGAAGTGATATCGATAGGGCAGGGAAAACGTTCTTGAGCCACCTTTGGGAGACAATAGGAAGAAACGATTGGCCCTCGGTCGTGTGGGAACAACGCTCCGTCCTCTCGAAGTACGCGTGGTCGATAATTACATGCAAAATACACCACCACCTCCGCCTGCCGTCCCCGATCCCCGGGCATACCGTTCGTGAGAGTAGATACTGATCCAGCGCGACGAGGAGTCGAGTGACAAGCACCCGGTGCTATTCTACAAGAAGCTGCCCTCCAAGATAGCGAAGATGCAGGTACGGCAAAACCGCGAGTACTCCTCGCCATGCCAAGCAATTTTCAAGTCGCGGCGCTTTAGGGCGTGGTTAAGTACGGATTAATGGCAAGAAGAAGCCACTGCTGTGCGAAGCTGAGCCCGGGGGTTCTGTGGTTTGCGTTGTCACTGCGGAGGCAGATGCTGTTGGCGCAACGCGTGTTTTGTAGGGACAGCAGACTCCTCCCAAGCTTCTAGACAGACCCGTCCTCGCAAAGGGATAATCACGTCGGTCACCCTGACGATGCACCACGACGATGGATTCTTGTTCGGGCTGATGCAAAGGGAAAAATGCGAAGGTTGTGGAGGTGTTGATGATTAAGATGGTGGGAGTGTTGGGGCCAAGAACAACGAGCGTTCAGTCAGCAACAGCCGCATCGCAACCAATGAAAGGACTGCGAGCGGCAAACTGCCCGAAACCCGAGGGCAGCCACACGCATGTGTTGCAGAAACCGAAGCGTGCAAAATGCCTAACAGTTGATGTCAGACCGTCGCGTGGTCGTCCTGTATCCTGAGGGCGTACACACGCGCCCATGTGGTGCACTATACAACCAGAATCACCCCAAAACATGCCTTTCTTGGACGCGCAGGTGTTGCTCTGCGACCCCATGCTCGCGACGGGCGGCAGCGCTTTGATGGCGATCCGGTGTCTTGTGGAAGCCGGGGTTAAGGAGGCGGCCATCGTTTTCATCACGGTCGTGGTTTGTCCCGAGGTAAAGGAATACCCGCCGCGGCTTCATGCTGCTGAACAAGTTCTTGGCGTTTGATCGGTCTGTCTCTGTCTCTGCCTGTCGTTTGCCTCTCTGTTTGTCTGTCTCTGCCTCTGCGTCGCTGTCTCTGTCTCTGTCTCTGTCTCTGTCTCTGTCTCTGTCTCTGTCTCTGTCTGTCTCTGTCTCAGGAGATGTCTCTGTCTCTGTCTCTGTCTCTGTCTCTGTCTCTGTCTGTCTCTGTCTCTCTCCTTGCCTCTGTCTCTGTCTCTGTCTCTGTCTCCCTTGTCTCCCTCTCTCTTTGTGTCTGTCTGTCTTGTCTGTCTCTGTCTGTCTCTGCCTCTCTCTCTGTTTGTCTCTGGCTGTCTCTGCCTGTCTGTCTGCCTGTCTGTCTCTGTCTGTCTCTGTCGCTGTCTCTGCTGTCTCTGCCTCTCTGTCTCCCCCCCTCTCTCTCTATTCTGTCTGTCAATAGGTAAAGAAATCAAAAACGTATCGGGAACGTGTAAGGTATTGCATGATTTTGACACTGTTGATATCGCGCGCGCAGGGGATCGGGGCCGTGCGGGCGGAGTTCCCGGAGGTGACGATCGTGACGGGTGCCATGGACGACTGCCTCGACGAGAAGCGTTACATCCTCCCTGGCCTGGGCGACTTCGGCGACAGATTGTAAGGACAGACAAATTGACAGCTCGGCTAATTTGATCAGCAAAAAAAGCAAAGTTTTTTTTTTGGGGGGGGGTGTTTGTTGCTTTCTGAAGCCACCCCACCCACCTCTGTGCTGTGTGTTTGTTCGAGTATTTTTTCTGCGGGGAAGTTAATTCATTCTTGTCTGCGGAACACCGCGCGGGGGATGTCGTTGTGCTTGGTTCCCGATCGATCGGATTTGGTGGTGCGGGAGGGGGGGGCTCAAGAGCTGCCGGACAGAGGGGCAGGTCAGCACTACTGGCGTGCGTGGAAGAAGCCAGAACATGGCCGAGAGCAATCAAATCCTTGTAGGGGGTCGGGGGAGCAAAGAAAGAAGCAAAAACTACGTGAACTGGCCAGAGGGCGTTGAAGACGTCGCCCCTGCTGTTCGTGGTGGTGGAACACCTGTGTTTTTGTGTCATGGGGCCGTTTCAGCGCGCCGTTCCGTGCTGCACATGGCAGCTTCCGCCAGCATCCTTCGCGAGGATTTTGGTATGACGTAAAATATGTTGGATAAAGCGTATGATCGAGGAAGTTGGCTTGGGGTTAGGGTTAGGGAATAGGGTCTGCGTCCCCACTCCCTGTTCTATTAATCGCGCGAAGGCGGTCCACCTCGGCGCCGTCAGATAAGGGCAGATCGATCGCGAAGTGTGTCGGTGGAGGTTTTTTCGGTGACGCTTGTCATGGAAAATCGCTCGTGGCTCTAAAGGGTTGGCATGTGTCAAAGACCTTTGTGTACAAAATTTTGAAGATGGCGGCGCCATTTTTTTCCCGTCCGCTTGTTGTCGAACTTCGCTCGTATTTGCGGATCGCAGGCCGGAATTGGTGATTTGGTCCTCATCATCACCCCATCTCTCCCCCTCATGTCACTGGCGTGTAGTTTTACCACTGACGGTCAGTCAAGTCGCTTGACTTAGGCCAAGTCAAATGAACCATACGTCGAATCTATTGGCCTGAGTCGAGTTTACCTACCTCACGTCGAGAACACTTGGCGCTATGCCAACCTTTTCATGTACCATCCGAGCCGAATTGGTTACCCTGACCGGGCAACTGCTCACCCCGCTCCGCTCCCTCGTTTTGTAATCGTCCGACCCATACCCCTGTCCTCCGCCATCTGGCCTGCCCCCCCCCCCCCCCCCCCCCCCCCCCCCCCCCCCCCCCCCC